AAAAAAAAAAAAAAAAACTTTGGGTCGAAATTTTTCGTGATCACAGAAATCTTAAGGCATCATTTTCTTTTTGGATTTTGGTGTGTTTTTCTTTGGGTCGAGCGCGATAGCCGATCGACAGCGGCCTCGGCTTTGCCGGCGAGGGAGACGACGTCGGAGATGGAGGATCTGGCTTGGGAGATTCGTAGGGTTTTGAGGCGGTCTAGGTCGGCTGATCTCTCGCCTTTCTTGAAGGAGGATGGAATGAACGGATGACAGTGATGTTAGAGTAGAAATTGGCGGTGGTAGGGCAGATGTCGTCGGAGAAGATGGCGGCAATGAGGATAGAAGAGAGATAACCTATAGATTTCACTGGACAAAAATATATTTTAGGTATATATTTCGTATATAGAATCTACAATTTATAGTGTTTTTTTTTCAAACGATAGGAAATCTCATAAATCAGATAAAATAGTAGCAACTAGCACAATCAAACACGAATACAACTAGCAACTAAAGGCAAATACAAGGATTCGGAACCTTTAGGGCAATAAACACACCATCCCTATCACTATAACCAAACTAACACAAACCAAACACATAAGAGGCCACTGAACATAAGAATCGAGCCTCTATAACAACCAAAAACTATCAAACACCTATATGATGGAATTCTTCCCATTCCTTTAATGCCGAACGAACAATAATGTTCTCTGGCATCTAAATTTTCTGAAAGACCCACAAATTCCGCGACTTCCAAAGTCACCAGAGAATGTACGTTGAGAGTTGTATCCTGGATTCAGAAACCGACGATCGATCCAGTTCAGAAATCCACCACCACCATCTTTCAAAATCATTTGCAACATCTTCTGGCGTATCCCAAGATATTGGGGCCAACTTCCACACAGCTTTGGCTCTTTGACATTCAAAGAACAAGTGTCCCACAGATTCACCTATTTCTCCACAACAATGGCAGATATAGTCCACTTCCATTCCACTCTTCAACAAGTTCAAATTCACTGGAAGACAATTATTAAGACATTTCCAAATAAAATGCTTAAGTTTATTTTTTACCTTCAACTTCTAGCATCGCTTTCTGTCTTTCTTATTTCTCTGAATGGAGGAGTTGCTTCCAGGATTGTCAAGAGTGAGTACTTTCTGGAAAATGGCAACAAAATAGGCTGAAGCAACTGAGAGAGAGCCTTTGGAGTCTCCCTGCCATATCCATCTGTCTCTGCTATCAGGCTTTAAATCAGTCATCTCCAAGATGGCTTTACTGGACTTTGGAGTGAATATGGACTGAATTAAATCTTTGTTCCAGTACCTGCCATTATTAGTTAGTAATTCATGAACCCATGTCAGTTGAAAATTTAATATAATCATGAGCTGAAAAACAAGTTGTATTGTTTGTTATTTTTGTCGTGGTGTATGGTTGTTAATCTATTGTATATTTTAAGTATTTGATATGTGATCCATATTGTTATAATCAGTTAATTATTTTTGGTATATGATCAGTTTATGTATTGTTATCAATGTATCGACATAGCCGGAAGCCTAAATAAAAATGTTTAACAACACGACATATACTGAAAATATATTGTCTATGAATGCAACATATACATACTTACTAAAAAATATCCAAAACAACATAAACAATGATGAACAAAAAAATAAATTGCTCATTTGTCAATTCTTGTCGTCAACAATAAAAACTTTTAAATACACCAAACATAAATAATTGAAATATACTGAAATATCCGTAATAATTATTGAAACAAATCATGTCGGATATATCCGTAAAAATCTTCTGAAATGCAAAACATAAACTGTTTATAAACTAAAAATATACTGTCTATATACTTAACATATACTGCCTATTTGAAAGTTTCGATATATGCTCACTATAGTACTTCTCCTACTGTTTTTGCAAATTGCTCCAACCTTGCACTTCCTTCATCGATGATACAATCGTTACTGGCGTCGGGGAGTCGGGGACTGTATGCCTCTCGAATATTGCCTTCACCAACGACGCTCGCGTCAAGCCGCCTATCCTCCGCCTCGAGAACTCGACCTCCTATGTGCATCTCCGTCTTGAGAATTTGAGTTTCCACCGCCTTCGGCCCTCACACACCATCCGACGACATTCTCCACGCACGAGCCAAAAGGACCGCCGCACAATCGTATTCGCCCTCTTCAGTCGCCGAACCTGCCGGTTGTCGTGCCATTCCATCCGCAGAAGAGGATGAAGCGTGGATCGGTTGTAGAGTAATGAAGCGTGAAAAATGGAATCCGTTTTCTATTTGATAGGATCGGCATAGGTCTTATAGAATAACGGATTAAATGCGAAAGCTTGAAGTATAAGTGAGAGATTGTTAGTGTTATATACTAAAAGCTTGGTTTTGGATGATATTACACTTTTACCTTTTATGAACGAGAATCATGTTTGATTAAACAAGTTCTATGATATGTTGTTTTGCACTTAGATAGAATGAGTCGTCATCGGGCGAACAGGCGATCATTTTATCAGTCACTTGCGAAACAAGTATTGTGGTTCACAACCTAGATGGAAATGAACTCCCCATCCGAACGGTTGTAGTGTCAACAGTACAGTTGGTCTTGGCTGATTAGTTGCACTAATACATTTATGTATTGAACAGGATCCCAGAGAGAAAAAGTTCGTTTTATACTGATCGTCGTAAACGAACTAGGCCTCAGTTAATTATTACGTTTTCTTAACCCGTAAAATATTAAACAGCCATATATATGCAGTACATATTACTTTGATTCACTTGGGTGAGGTTCAGTAGGCTGGATTAATATTCCTACTGTCTTGGGTAATATTGTTGTATGTATGATGTGCTGTTAGAATATTTACGGTCACCATGTACGTTTATTTTGATGATGTCCTCGAAGTGGGTTCATGAAAGATTGTTATGCTAAACCCTGCAGGTGGATTAAATTCCGGCATAATAATAATGTGATGAAGAAACGCTAGCTTCGGTGAAATAAATAATATATTAATTAATTCTTGATTGTCAGTAATCAAATTAATTAATAAACATTATATCTTAAACATATAGAGGTAATTCGGGTAATTATAATTGGAGTCTCAAATATAATTTGGGATAGGAAAAGAGAGTACAATAATATTATGTTTGTAGACCGTAATATCATTTAAAGTAATTGGAGGAGTGGGCTTGACCCACAGTTAGTCCATTACTTAAGAAGCCCTATTCCTATTCTCCTAAGTATTCCTATTGTAGCTCTATATATACATCATTAAGCTCAAGAGAAGAGAACAAATCATCCATTCTCACGTGAAAAACTGGTGCCCCCTCTCATCTCTCTCTAGATCTCATTCGAGCTTTATCTTCTTCTCGTTGCTCCACCGGTACGAGTTGAAGAGATGTAAGAGTGATACAGTAGAAGATCCCGAAGGTAATCGAGACCCCGTAATCATCTACCGGAGCCGACGAACCACAACCTGAAGGCCGAGGATCGCCGACCCCAGCCCCGCTGTGACCAGCCGGAGGACCGCCGCACCCGACCAAGTCGCGACACGACCTGGCGACGCGACCACCTGACGCATACGACCCGATCTGACGCGACATGACCGGAAGCTCCTCACCATCTGTTCGCGATCCCGACTTGTTCGTGTGCTGTTCCCAGTCATCCCAAATCCGACAGATTCAGAAAATTTTAAACTGTAAGTTTTCTACGTCAAACTTTTAGATCCGCTGCACATAGGTTTACGTTTGCTATTGAATTCGTAACTTGTATAAAACGATATCCTCATAAATCCCAACAATACAGACTCTTTGGAACATGCAAGCCAAAAAGACACCATATGGCACAAATGGATCCACCATATTTACTTGGGGGGCAAGTCCATTTGGGAATGGGAAATACACAAGGATGACTTGCCTCTATTCAAATATCTTTTTGAGATCCGACATACCTTGGTAGACTGTAGCGCCCCGTTTATTTATGATTTTTTTTTTGGATTATTTATTATTATTTATTATTATTATTATTATTATTATTATTATTATTATTATTATTATTATTATTATTATTATTTATATTTATTTATTATTATTATTTATTGAATGATATAAATTATTAATTGTCGAATGTGATTTATTTGTCTATGTGTTACTAATTAATTAAAATGGGTATTTGTATTTTTACTAAGATTATTATTATTTTCTTAAAATTAAATTGTGTATATTATAAAAATATATTATATCCGGTTGTATATTTATTATGCGATTTAATTTGCGAGCCGATCCGATTTTAATCTATCAAGCTCGAGTAAAACCGTATTATCGCTACGTAGTCGGGCCCGAGAGCCGAACCGTGTTATCAAATTTATATACTAGCCCATTTTGCTATGTGAATTAAAAGGCCCAATTCCTTGCTAATAAATCCTGACCCAATGTATTAAATAGTGTTGGCCCAAACCCCCCTAATATCACCTTGGCCCAAATTGAGTTGAGATTGGCAGATTTATCTCTTTCTTCCTTCTCACGCGCAGCGACCGAGTCTTCATATCAGTTGCAGATCTAGCGATTCTTCGGCAAAAAATTTTTATCGCACGTTCCACAATCTCTTGGCTATAATATCTCGACCAACCGAGATTTCCCTTCATTCCCTTCTCTTCTCCATTCAAATCGTAGCAACCTTTTCAGTTTAAAAAAAAAATTAGGCGCACCTTCTTCTCCGGCGATAGCTCTGCCGCCGGCGTCTCTCTGAGCAGCACTACGGCGATCCCTTCCTCCCTCAACGGTTGCGGTCGTCGTTCCCAGCCGCTGTCCGCCATTGCCGAGCAGCACCTTCGAGGAGTTTCGTGTGCCGTTCAAATTCCTTCCGATTCCCGTTCGTCCGACCCAATTTTTCTGATTGCTCGTATTTCCCGAAGACGGGTAAATCTTTTGGAACCTTCTCGTTATATTTTTCGGGCACGTTTTAAATTCGTTGTTCATCTTGTGCGGATTCAAAGCTTTGATGGTTCTTTTCTGTTTGTTTATAAATCTCGAATATTTATTCGTATGGGATCGTGAATCGACGTGGACTATCGGAACTCTCGTTTATTGTAAAATCGAGTCTTGTTGCAACTGTTATTTATCCGTTCGAATTCAGAGTCTCGTTGTCTTTTTCCGGATTGTAGTCGTGCTTGTCGAACCGTGTGATTTTCCGTTAGAACCGTTCTATGGTCGTTTCATTTTTCCGGAATTAAACCCGATTTTTATAAATTTGCTAACACTGAAACTTTATGATTTTTGAAAACTTGATGTCTCGGAACTGTTGTTTGTGAATTTATGCCGTCAAGTCGTCAAAAATTTTTGTCGCCGGTGCCTGCTCTGTTTTCTGCTCGCAGCTGTAGGAAATCAGTTTTTACTTTCGAAATTTTAGTAGCCAACAATTACAATTAAATTCGCAACAAGGAGTGAAGCGCAGTGGTGAGGGCGTTCACTTTCGTGCGACAAGTCTGGGGTTCGAAACCCGTCCCCAGCGCCCATTTCTTTTTTTCCGCCCATTTCTGCGTCCTGTAGCTTCGGCCCGCGCGGCCCGTCCCCGGCCCGCGTTTCCCAGCTTTGAGCAGGCCTTGGCTGCGGCCCAATGGCATTATAGGCCCAAATTTCTTGTCTTTTCCAGCCCAATCTCACTTGTATGAGCCCAGATCCGCGGCAGATGAATTCCAGCGCAGCCCAGTTGGCCTTTTTGGTTTATTTTGAGTTCCGAAAGCCGTTTTTAATACCGATTTCAGTTTTAAAAATATTTTTATAATGATAAAAATTTGAGAAAAATTATTTTAAGTCCCGAGACTCCATTTTTGTTCTTCGAGTCTTTTCTTTTAAAAATGTGAGAGTTCCAAGTCCACGAAAAATCCGATAAAATCCTTTAAGCCTTAATTTTGATTAAGTGTGGGTTTTATGTTAAATTCGAGTAGTGAGATAGATTATTGACGTATTATATCACTTAATTGTAGGTGTTTGAGGAGTCGAGCCCTCGACCTACTTATCTGCTATTTCAGTGTGATATCCTACCTCGATTTCCAGGTGGGTTGTTATTCTAAAATTATCTATGCATATGTGTGATTTAATTGTGTTGAAAATTTGGTATGATCTATGTATGCATGTAAACATGTAGCCTATCGATGTGAGCTGTTACGGCCGTCGGTACGGTTGTTCCCGTCGAGTTACGGTACGGTGCCCTTGTGTGGCAATCTCCTTTAAGTCCTGATATGGCCGTGCCCTTGTGAGGTACGTAAGCCCATATGGAAGGCCGTGTCCGTTACAGTGGCACGTACTCCCGCCTTCGGGTAATGAATCCCCGTTCTGCGGCTAGCGATAGATGTGCACAGGAGTAAGGTTAAATGGTGTGATTTTGATTAGGAGATGAGACATGTTGTGATTATTGTTTATGTTCATGCTGCGACCATACCATTGTTATGTTATTCATATGCATAGTGTGAGTACGATATTTAACTGTACTCACTCCCACCTGCTCTTCACAGATGCAGGTTAAGCAGTTGGCGGGTGACGAGGCAAGACGAGTGGATGGTCTTGCTTTTGTTTAAGACTGATATTTACTTCCGCATTTATGAACTTGTTCTGGTTTATTTGATTATGTTTGAACTAGTGATTTTGGATAAGAGTTGGACGGATTTGAATACTTGGGTTTTATGCTGTTATTTATTGTTATTTTGAATCTTGACAAATGTGTTGGTTCATTTTGATCTTCTTGTGTGTTGGATAAATTGCTCTTGGTAAATAAGTAGCGCCCTTTGAATTTTAAACTTAATCGAGATTTTGAAAAATTAACTCTGATTTTCATTAAATAAATTTGATAAATCTTTTAAAATTAAGTGGGGTGTTACATAGACAAAGAGGGTAGTGAGCAAGCCGCGAAAGCTTTGCTTCATCGTTGGAGTTCACGAGGTAAGCAAGATGGGTCGAGAAGTTGCTACGATTTTGAAGGCCTTGCAGGACAATAATGCCATGGACCGGGGTAGTTTGGGGGCCCTGCAATACCCCCAAACATCTTTTCATTCTTTGGTTGAGAGTGCTCAATCGTCTCCGTACTAAGGACCGATTATAGTTCCTCGATGAATACCCAGCTTGCTCCCTTTCTGGTGGTACTATGGAATCATCGGGGCACCTATTTTTCGAGTGCCCCTTTAGCTTGAAAATTTGGGGGGTGATTTATGCTTGGGTTTAGC